ATCGCTTTCCTCCAAGAGGAAACTCAGAATAAGTGGGACATAATGATGCTCTTGGGGGCCTTGGGGACTGTCATGTGCATTATTGAATGGTTTTCTGTCCTCAGCAGGCATGTGACCTGCCACCGTCATCTTCATTACTGCCTCACAACTGTCTATCACCGCCACCACCACCTGCTCTCTAGTTACCGTCGTCGTCACTGTTATCATTCCTGCCGCCACCACCCTTCACCACCATCACCATCCTCCTCCTCCATCGCCAGCCTCAACCACATCACACACCCACCACACCCTGCGCTGCTCTAGTTTCACAGATTTGACTGACAGTTCCAAGTCATGGCCGGAGGAGGGACTCGGATAACTAACCAGTCCTGTCAAACCTACCACGGGTGCAGAGAGAGAATAGACTCTTCTTGCTTGTTTCCTATACCTACTCCTATGCCTACACCTGCCTAGGCCTAGGCCTATGCTTTCTCTACTCTTGTACAGTCCAGGACTCAGCCATAAAATGGTTCTGCCCACAACAGGCTGGGTCTCCCTACATCCATTATCAATGAAGACAACCCCCATAGATATGCCCACAGGCCAGCCTGATCTATTTAATCACGTAGTAAAACCCTGTTCCCAAGTGATTCTAGGTTGTGTCAAAACTAACCAGCACACTCTGCTAAGACCATCACCATCTCCCCAGCAGGTCCTTCCACCCCTCACCGCCATTGCTCCCCCCTCCCCACGCCCCCCATCATTACTGTCTTCACCATCCGCATCAGCATCACCTTCATAAGCACAAACCTGAGCCTTAAGGGGCTGCTGCGTCTGGGAGGCGTTGTCTTCCGGAGCTGGGCTCTCCTTCACTCTAGCCTGTGTAATCCCCGCTGGCTCTCTGTCCGCCACATCTGGAGGGCATGTACAAGTAACATTTTAGCAGCCTTGCTTTTGTCTCTTTTGAGACAGGATTACTGATCTTTTATTGTTTGCTTTATAAATAACAAAAGATGGTAATTAGTTTGACTCATTAAATGTAAAACAATTGTTACAAATTTCGAGTGTTTGATTAGATTCCTTAAATTATGCGGCGTCTCATGTTGCCAGCTGAAAGCAGCAGGGTATCTGAAGCTTGGTCTTCTCCTTGCCACCCACGGCTTCTCTTTTCCCTGTGTACCCTCTTGGTGTCCATGCCCCTGTCAGTGTGCTGGCCAAGTACTCAACTTGCCTGAAAAATGGTCTCTGAAGCAGGCTGCTAAGCCATCTTTGATGGAGAACCTAAGAAGGGGAGAGTGTTCGCAGTGTTTTTCATCCCCCGCTTTTGGGAAGGGACCAGAGAAACCTATTTATTGGGAGGGAAGGAGTAAGGACAGGCTAGGCCCGTGGGCAGGACAAGGGCACGGAATTCTGAAAACAGAGTTGTTTGCCAAGGGCAAAGGTCACCTCCCCAAACTCTCGGAAGCCCCTCGGCAGTGATCTGTGTATCTGTTCCACTCAGTGGTCCTTCTTGTCCCCAGCCCTCTCCCGGACCCCGCTCAGAGCCGATCTACATCCCATGCCCACCCTAGCCCGTGTTGCCAACCCCAGTGCATGGTAGACACCTGCTGATGGTGCTGCTCCTTCTCCTTTCTCTCGTACCAGAAGCTTCCAAGCGCTAGGGGGATTGCTCATGGCCCTGATTATCTCCCTTGCCCCCGGAATTCGGGAATTGGTTATGGTCTGTAATCCTGCTATTTGAAAGGCAGCCTTTGGAACAGGTGGTTGCCAGGCCAGCGTTCTCTAAAGAGACGCTCACAGCCACCTCCTCAACTCAGCTCTTCCCTAGTCCCCGGTGTGATTTGGAGATGGTTTGAGTAAGTTCCCCAGAGGTCCCCATCCATACTGGAAGCATGATCTCCAATGTGGTGGGGTTGAGGGGCTGCTGGGACTTTAAAAAAACAGGCGGGGTCTGGTCTAGATGATCACTGAATTAGAAAGGCGCTATTATATTTCTTTAGACTGTTTAGTTCCAGGAGTGAGTGTGTTGCTGCAAAAAGTAGTCATGGGTGGCGAATCCTGTGGCTTCCTTCCTTGTATGTATTCTTGTATATGATGCCACCTGCTATGCTACTCCACATAGCCAGAAAACCTTCATTGCTGATTAGTGTATGGGGCCATCTGACCTTGGACTCAGCCTCCCAAACTAAATGAACCTCATTTCTTCATAAGGTACATGGCCTCAGGTATTTTGTTCTAACAACAGAAATGATGACTGCTGAACCCCTGCTCTGGAGACATACCAGAATTTAGAATGATTTTCTTATAAAGAGGAAAACATGATTGCAGTCAAGGGCTGAAGTTGGCTCCATACAGCCCTTGCCGACAACCTCCTCCATGGGAAATGACAGTTTATTTGGAATGAGCATTCCTATGTGGGTGGGCTGCACATGGATGAGTTCATCAGGGAGGGAGGCAGCTCTTCCTGGCCAGCCGAGTCTGCTAGGTCAAGCACTGGGCTCAGCTGGTGGGGTTGGCTGTGCTCCCCAGCACCGTTCCTCCCATGGAGGGTGGTGTGGGAGAGACTGGCATATGCCGATGTACGCCGATGCATGGGTGACATTTCCACCACATTGGCCATGCGTCAGCCCTAATTGGCACTGTTTACAATCTGTGATTTTGTTGTGCCGCAGTTCTAGGTTGTGTGGCAATCTCTCTCTCTGTCTCTCTCTGTCTCTCTCTGTCTCTCTCTCTCTCTCTCTCTCTGTCTCTCTCTCTCTCTTTCTCTCCCTCTCTCTCTCTGTGTGTGTGGTGGAAAAAGATAATCTCTTGTTTGGAAACTATAAAGAATTGTAACTGTTTTTCATTGTTTTTGCATGGGAATTAGTGTCTTTTTGTTTCATCTGCCCTGTTTGCTTCCGTGGGGTCTGTGTTTGCAGTAAATTCTCCCTCGGCTTATGGACATGGCCTTTAGATAGATAGCTCTGCTACGTCTTGGTTTGATGGCAGCTGCTCATCTCTTAGGAGAGATGAATAAAGTATTTTGGACTTGTTTGTCTTGCATGATGTCCTTTTAAAGCATCTTTTTGATGGTCTAACTCTTATCCAAAATTCCTTGCTCTGTTTTACTTGTTTGAGGTAGATCTCACATCCTCTTGCTCCCATCTTCCAAGGATTGGGGTTATGGACATGTGTGATCCTGATGGAGAGGTCTCGATTTAGAAAAATTAACCTAGTAATAACATCAGGCCTCCCTATCTTTGTTTAACTGATATTGTAAGGATACTTAATGGACATCTGGGATGTCATTTGGTTGTTTGTTTTCCCTCAGCAAAAGGAAGCGGCCACCAGGTTCACAGACATTATTGTTACTTAGTTTCATGTCCTTATCTTGCAGTTAAGAATACATTAGTTTTGGAAATGATGATGTTTCTTTTCTGGATGTTTCCTCTAACTCATTTCCATAACTGGCTTTGGCTTGAGCCTCACATGAGACTTGACTTTAAAAATTAAAGCCAAGTAAATGAAGAAGAATCAGAAATGTTTTTATTAAATATTTGATTGTTTTTAAACTAAAAATAAGTATTTTAGAAGGAGCTGACTTGAAAGATTCATTTTTCTGGGTATGCTATGCATTTGTTATAAATAATAAATAACATTATGGCAATTGAGTACCGCACTTCTGTGCAAAATAAATAAATGCATTTGGTGATATACATCTGAGGAATGCGATCCTTATAATTTTTATGGAAACAAGGAAAAACTTAACAGTTGATAGAGACTTTTACCATCTGTTAGCAAGTAGAAACAGCGTGGCATTTCCCAACTTTTAACAGGTACGCTGGCCTGCCAGGAATGACAGTTGTCTAAAACTGGTCCCTCATCCCCAGGAGGCTGACCCAGCTTCCCGCCCGGAGAGGAAGGGCTTCTTTGCTGCTGAATCAGATGGCACAGCCTTCCTTCACATTCTCTAGAGGCACGGGACTGAGGGGTGGGAGCTGCTTTCCCACAGTGAAAGACGAGGAGAAGGCGATGCGCGCATGTGCCGGCTCCTCCTGATGTGCGCATGTGCAGTTAGTTCCTCCTGTAATTTGTGCAAAAGTGGAATAGTCAGGCACTTGCTGTCTGTATGAGCAAAAGCACTGAGCACTGGCGGGAGGGTGAAGGTAGAGATGGGAATTGGAAGCTCCCCCTTTCCCTTAGAATGGCATTTGCTGTAATACTCTGGCGATATTTTGGCTCCTGACATAACACAGGAGGGCTGCAAAGGAGTGTATGGACTGCCTGTGGAAGAGTGGATGGACTGCCTGTGGAAGAGTGGCCGGGCTGCCTGTGGAAGAGTGTATGGACTGCCTGTGGAAGAGTGGCCGGGCTGCCTGTGGAAGAGTAGCCGGGCTGCCTTTGGAAGAGTTACATGAGATGGAGAGGCTGAAGAGAAGGCTCCTGGAAGCAGGGCCTTTGTTGTTAGTGCGTCCTTTAATCTCCTTCGATGGTGTGAGAATGACTCCACCCTGGGTCGTCCAGGTCATCTAATGGTGTGACACGATGCACAGTGTTGACCTTGGGATGGCCTTTGGAACGATAACAGCACCCTGTGGGTGCTTGGCCCTTTCTGCCAGAAGCCGTAGCCTGACCACACCGGCAGAACCACCTAGGGAAGTTTTATCTAGCCATGGATTGCATTTTAGGATGCTCTCCATTTTGCCTCTTCAAACCCAAAGGGGCTGGGAGTGAGGGGTTTATCCAGCTTCCCTTATTTCGGACCCAACTCTTATTCCAAACTCCTGGAAATACATTGTGTCCGATATTCCCGATCTGACTTTGGTTTCTAACTACAACTTCTTCCCCTTCCTCTGACCATGACCCTGCATGGTTTTGGTTGTACATCCTGTTGGGAGCCCCGTGCTTTGTTGCTTTCCCTTAGGCGGTTGAGGGAAGTGCTTCTCAGACCAGTACCTACAAAGATACCAAATGCAGGCTTGCCAGGTTTAAAGCGGTTTCTCTTCTTGTGTCTCTTCTTGTGGTGTTTGTATTTTTTACAGGGGCGAAGACATCTTGAGCCAGAGGAATGATTCTCTAGTTCTGGAATTTCAGTCATCAGCCAGCAGATGCAGGAGGTATAATTTTGGGTGTGGGGGCCTCCTCAGAAGCCCAGCAACCATCCTAAAGGACCACCCGCCCGCCCATCTTACATGAGATCACCCACCCCATGCATCACTCCAGTCTTGTGTGTGGTTGGCTTGGCCTGGCCGAGGGTGGGCCTGCATGGCATGTGTGTGGAGGTCTCTGTTTGACGCTTGCCACCCTGGGTGCTCCTCCCCAGTGTTGTAGGTGCTGGAGAGAGGGGAGTTCAGATGCATGAGATGCAAGGTCCTTTATTTATTCATTTATTTTCCTTTCTTTCTGTAAGTGCCATTCAACATTAATGTTAGAAGTTGATCATGGTCTCTGTTGTTCAAAGGCCACTTCATGCCTCTGCGTCACATAAATCACATGTCTTCCATCTTGTCACCGCGTGAAGCCCGTGGAATGTTTACAGAAGCTGGGGGTTTGTTTGTAGTGCACTACAGCAGCATAGGATAGTCTCAGCTTCTCCCTGGGGTTGGCGGCCTGGTTCTCAGAAGAAGGAGTGTATTGAGGGTCCCCAATGTGCTGCTCTCTGTCACCTCAGCCACGCTCAGAAAATGACTGTAGCATTGCAAGACTGAGCCTCTCTGTTGGTAGATTTTTTTTTTTTTTTTTAATGTAAGGACACTGGTTGGGCTCCCAAACCTAATAACTTTGGGTAATGTACTAAGGATGAATTAAAATGCTAATGGCCTCCTTGCTCTGGATATTTTAGCATTCCCTAATTTTAAATTTAAATTAAATGCCTCGGGGGCAGGGATAGCTTTGCCAGAAGCATGTGTAGTATCATCCCACAGACAGTGACTTTAAAATATGCCCTGGCCACATGGGCCCAACTGGCAGGAGGGTTACTTTTTAATCACTGTGTTTTTTATGTGTGTGTGTCCCCTGCATCTACATGACACAAACACCAGAGAAGGCTATTTAACTTTTAAAACTTTTATTATTTTTCACTAAGTGCTTTTGAATTCACAGATCATTTGATTTTTAACTGTATGTTAACACGGTTTCAGGACACCCAAGTGCCCTAGAATTTTCTTTGGAATTGCCATCATTGCCTCTCATTTTGACCTTACACAGTGCCTTACGTCATCCCTACCTCATAATGGGGATAGACACTGAGGGCTGAAGAGGTTGGCTTTTATTTTCATCTCCTTTCTGGACCTCGGAGAATTTTCATTAGTAGGTAGGTGACTTGGCTCTCAGCTCAGCCCTGGATCACGCCAAACAACACGATGGCAGGGTCACTGTCGTTCTTTACTTGGGGACGTGTGTTTCCCTGACGGGTAGTGCTGCACGCCTACGCGAGCCCCGCGAGCCCAGGAGCCCAGCGCGAAGGGACTCGCTTTCTCATCTCTAGTCGAGTCAGCCCTTGTTTCCTCCGTATGAGGGGCACCGTGCATTTTACTTTCCCCTTCCGACTTCCAGCTGTTTGGTGCCTGGCCGCTCTGTGGTTGTGTTTTGGTGCATAGACTGTTAATGTTCTTCAACCAGAAGGCTTAGTTCCCGGCGACAGTGATAAACTTCAGTTTCCATCCCGACAGTGATAAACTTCAGTTTCCATCCCGACAGTGATAAACTTTCCTCCTAGCACATGTTTTATGGTCAGGAGGAATGAAAGTGTCAAATACATCAGAAGGAAGAATTGATTCAACGGTCGTTTGAGGACTTGACTGATTAGCAGATATCAGGAGAAGGCTCATAACTGTGAGATCCACTGCAGGGCGGAGTTTTAACAGCCCTTTAGGGAGCTAGTTAATGATAGACTCACCACAGAAACACACACACACACAGGACACTCAAAGGCAGTGTCACGAGAGGAAGTCGGCTCATAATTTCTATTTACACATCGAAATAATTACCACAGGCCCGAGCAAGGCGCTCAGAGTTGCTTACGTAGTTCCTTGCTTGCGTTATCGGGCAGAGGACTCTAGTTCTGGTTGGAACTGGTCCCGTGGGTTTTCCCTTTGGAAGAGCGTGGTTATCACACGTGGAATGCCGTTGGCCTGCCGCGCCTGGCTGTAGCTCACCAGTGTCCTGTTACCATTGCCATCTGTCCTTTAACCAGATGCATGTGACTTTGGGCTTGGCTCTTTAACTTTGGGGGTTGTTCTCTTCCCTTTCTCCTGGTGCAGTGTCTATGAACCAGATAGGAGTGCGTTACGGAGGAAAGAACGAGAAAGAAGAAGCCAGGAAGCGCAGCAGGACAGTGGCGGCTTCAATTCCAGTTACTCTCTCTTCAGTGAACCCTACAAGGTAGATGGCTGTCAGATGTTCATACCCCCAAAGTTGTTGCCTCCGGGCATGTCCCGTGAAGGAGTTGACAGGAAACCCCGGTTAGATAGCCCTGCACTGTGGCACCCCCCCCACCCCGAATAATTATATTTAGCTTGCAAGGCCCTGTGGGTTCCTTTACTTCATAGGTTAAGAGTGACGCTGAGACCCACTTGCTATGATTTTTATCAGTAATTCAGCCTTTTTTCCTCATTGGTTTCAAAACTCAATGCCATCTGCTAGGTTTTCTGATCTCTTACATACTATTCAAAAGTGTTTAGTTTAGGTACTTGATATGTGTGGCTCATGCAAGGATCAAGGCACCTGTTAGGGCTAATGAAATTGGGGGTTTCAGGATTGCTCAGTGGGAGATGGGAGGTAGCAGCTACCAAGCCTAAAGGCCTGAGTTTGATCCCCAAGACTCAAATGGTAGAAGGAGAAACCAAATCTTGCAAGTTGCCCGCCCCCACACTTTACATAAAGTATGTTTTTAAAGAAGTTGCGAAATCACTTCTAATTCTAACCGAAGATCACCTACTGAGACACACTTGCACACTTTTTACCCACACTGAATTGGTCACGGACATTCCAGGCTGCAAATGTTTGGGGTGGGAGAATTTTGCATATTTGATCTCATATTACGTCTCAGTTCACCCTGATTCTGCTAGCCCGACACATTGTTTCTATTGTTTCTGACAAGAACTGACACAGTGTTTCTGACAAGAGCAATTACTTATTTACAATCTGGAAGCAACCTTATAACTGAGCCAAATCTAAAATTTCCAGGAAAGCTTTTAGTGGTTCTGCAACACAACTCTAATCTAATCCAAGAGAGACAGTGTAGATCGCTTTGTGAAGTTGTGAGAGTAAACTTTCTGATTTCCAGGTTACATACACATATACAATAAATATGTATGCATAAACAATAATAGGTACATTTTGGAATAGCCCAATATACCAAGGGCAACTTTCTGGTCTTTTAATATGCCCCGAGGTTATCTGTTACAAGCTCTTGAATAACAGCTATCTTCAGACTCCATGAAAACTTTGATTTCCTCCCTCAGCTCTGGTTGTGAATTTATCAGTCTTGGTCATGTGACCCCACGGGCACCTGCTCACTGTTTCTTATGCCTTATCTCTAACAGTATCATGGATATGTTTTTATCTCTCCAGACTAACAAGGGGGATGAACTCTCCAACAGGATCCAGAATACACTAGGAAATTACGACGAAATGAAAGACTTTTTAACCGACAGATCCAACCAGAGTCACCTTGTCGGCGTCCCCAAGCCAGGCGTTCCTCAGACTCCCGTCAACAAGGGGGATGAACATTTCGTGGCTGAGTCAAGAGCGCAGCCCCAGCCCTCATCTGTCTGTAGTACCGCATCGTCTACACCCGCGGCCGTCCCCGTGCAGCAGAGTAAGAGGGGCACCATGGGCTGGCAGAAGACCGGGCACCAACCATCTGACGGCCAGCAGAGAGCAGGTAAGTAGGGGCGTAAGGCGGCTGCATTGTGCAGGTCTCAAAGAACCACAGTGAAAAAGCCATTCACTGTATATGGTGTCCCTCGTCCTCACCATCACATCACCGCCTTCTTCTTCCAACCCAGCACCACAGGGCTCTCTCAGGACCTTGCTCGGCGACGGTGTCGGCAGACAGCAGACGCGGGCCAAGCAAGTGTGCAATGTGGATGCGGGGCTTCAGGCCCAGGAGAGGCCACCCGCAATGGCAGCCAAGCACAGCAGCAGTGGGCACTGCGTTCAGAACTTTCCTCCGTCCTTGGCTTCAAAACCCAGCCTGGTCCAGCAGAAACCAACAGCGTACGTGCGGCCAATGGACGGCCAAGACCAGGCTCCTGACGACTCTCCTAAGCTTAAGTCCTCCACAGAGACTGGCGGGCACTGTACGTCCTACCGAGGGGTCCCAGCCAACAAACCGGAGTCAACCAGATCCAAGGCCAAGCTCGCTAAGTTCAGCATCCCCAAGCAAACAGAGGTGAGTCCATCCGCATTGTCAGAGACATGCGGCTGAGTAGTAGCCTGACTTGAGAATGCAGCTTTTATGTCCCTGCCCCTCCCACCTCCCCTTAAGTACTGAAAATATGTCTTCACGTGCATGCATTGATGTATTTGTATGTGTTTATGGTGTGTAGGAATTTCTTAGGGAAGGAATGCCTCCTTCGGTTGAGTTCATGGAGTTTCGTGAACAAGATGGTGGTATTAACTAAGATAGCTAGCAGCGGTATAAAACACTGCACAGGCTGTAATTCATTCATATATATTAAACAGTTCCTGCGTGGGCTCTTCTTCTTACCATGTGAAAATGCTTGGCCACATGAGCATATTCTCTGAATGAATGAAGTATCCCAGTTCACGCTCCCCCGGGTTGTGTTTTGGCTTTGTTTTAGTCCACTGCATCACACAGTGTGTGAGGTGGACGCATTGAGTGTGGCAGGAAAGACAGGGAATCTGAATGGAAAAAAGTGGCGCGCACACCTCATGCCATATTCCAAATAGGCGATAGTTGTCAAGAGCACACGGAGAGAAATTGCACTGTACACACGTGCTTTTGCTGTCTCTCTGTGATGTAGCATAGGGGCTAAAATGGTCTTTCTCTAACAGTGTGGTTAGGGACTGGCAAGCCGTTTCCCCCTCTGACATGTTCTTCTTTAAAGACGGGAGAAGGGTGTGGCCACAGTATTCTTTACATCTTAATTCCATCTAATAACCAACGGAAACAAAGGGTTTGGCATTCGCCTGTTGTGTTTTTTGACAAGGCTGAGCATAGATAGCATTTCTGTGCCATCGTCTTGGAATTCCCTATGGGCCATTTGGGGGATAACCCTGTTACCCAGAGACTGTCACTCAGAGAGAGACTGTCTTCTGCACCCCAGGAGGCGTTTACTAAGGGTTTAATTAGGGAATGTGATGACCTGCACCAGGGGCTTCTTTTGTTTACACATTTGTGATGTATTCTAGCAATTTAGGAAGCAGGAATCATCAGAAATAATGGAAGCAAAATGTTATTTCTCCATTGAGAAAATAAATAATTATCTTTATTTTTTTGAATTATGCATGTGTGTGTGTGTGTGTCCATGTGTGGGCATAGATATGTTAGTGAGATGTTAGATGCCTGTACCTGAAGTCACGGGTCCTTGTTGCTTCCTACATTGATGTTGATATTCAAACTTTAAAATAGCAACTCGTGTTCTCTAGGCACTTGTTTGTAAAAGCTTGTAGGAAACACATGGATGCCTCCATGTTGAACTGAATTCCTCAGGTCTCCGGTTTTATCATTCCCATCAAACGATCTCTGTAGGAAAAGGAAGTCTAGCTCATCCTTGAGCAGTGGTAGCCAACTTAAACCACCAGGGTTCCACTTACAACTTTTCTTTTAGTTGATTCCTTGTTAAAATGATGTTTTCCCACTGCAGCAGCTTCAGTTTGTTAGCTAACTATTTATTTATTCAGAATCCAGTGAGGTGGAGAGTTCTGGTTAAAAGCAATGAGATGCATTTTTCATACCCAGTGTGGCCCTGTGCAGACACCTTTGGTGAGTTTATCAGGTACTCTGGACATCATGCATGCCCTTTGAGGACCCCAGATTGGGGACAGCCGTGAGACACCAGAGTGATGCATAGATTCATCGCTCCTACATACAGCATTGAAAACAGCCAGCCTGTTGCCTCCTCATGTTCTGGTATGAATTGAAAAAGAGAGATAACTGTGAGATACAGATAGAGAGGTAGGTAGGTAGGTAGATAGATTGTGTGTGTGTGTGTGTGTGTGTGTGTGTGTGTGTGTGTGTGTGTGTGCGTGCATGCTCCAGGGCATGCAATCATGCAAATCGATCTTTGGGATTGAGTAAGAGCATTGCTCCTCAGATTGGTGGCTCAGTGCATTGCAACTTGAGATATTAAAAATCTACAATGTTATCTCTGCCTTCAGGGTATTTATCCCCATGAACTGAATAAATTGGTCTCTAGCACTTAGCTTTTTAATTCGAAACTTAATCCCACAGTCTCGACTAATCTTAAAATCAGTCTTTGAGTCCCAGGAACATTCTGTCACCTTTAACATCCTTGTCATGGAACAGTTTCGTCATTTTGTTTGAAAGCGGAGAAACTGTTAGCCTCTTTCGCCTGTTTTCATGTTCCATCAAGTCTGTGCTTTTCATTCTGTGTGCTGCCACAGGGGGTTGTTTGTTATAATTCCTTACTCTTTAATAATGGGTAATTAGTGTAGAAAAATCTAGTGCACTTTGATGAGGAAGTTAAAGGCCTCAAGAGGATTCCTTCACCAGTACACCTGCCTCTCAGCTGGTTTATCCCAGTCCAGTGTGGGGTTTAATGAAAAACATATTTTTGTTGTTATAGCTGAGTCTCCCGTTCTTGACGCCACCCCTCATTAAGCGAGCCTCCCCTAGAGTGCCACTTGGAAAGGTATCTGTTGTTAGGTGAGAGACGGGGGCCTTAACAAACGGCTGAAACATGCATTCTAGAACATCATAAGACAGGACATGGCAAATAATTTCCAATTGAAGTGACTTATTTCACACACACACACACACACACACACACACACAGAGAGAGAGAGAGAGAGAATTCCAGGGTTAGCCTTTGGGGACTATTAACATAGAACGTACAGGTGTAGATACAGTTTTTTGTGTGGGATTTGCAATTCGTACGAAAATATATATCTATGTAAATACATCATCGAGACCCTTCCTGCAAGTTGGGTACCCTGAAACCTAAGTCTGCCTAGCTTAAGGTCTTTCAATCTAGGACTCATGGGGTATTGTGAAATTGTTACTAAAATAATAACTTTTCATTTGGAAGAGTACTTCACATCAGACTCAAGTTTAGTACCTATTTATATGCTGGGCAGTGCTCAATACGTGCCAGAGTGTGCCGTCTTACCTGCTGGTTCAAGACTCTGCAGAAAGCTTATTAAAGCAGGTCCCCACTTGCCAAGGTATCCTCATTCAGTGTGCGGTCAGCTTTTTTGTAAGTTTGCCTTGTCTGCAGTGCTATTCCAGAAGCTGTACACCTGTGCTCATTTTTTATCAATCAGATTTGAATATGCTATTGCAATTGCACAGATCTCTGATGACTGGCATGGGAACACATTTAAAATCCAACGGGCAAAGCCAGACTTATTACCCACAGCCATGTTGATCTGGATAGAAATCTCTAAATTTGAGTATCAGTTAACAGACTATGTAAGGAGCTTCTATTGTGATTGATACTTCATCTACAAGGATAGAGTAACTGTTTGTTTGATTAGATTTGCTTTGTTAAAGTGTGCACTGAAATACTTTTGAGATATATTGATTAAACATAGCATTTTTCATGACCAGCATTTTCTAAAAATCACCATTTATGTCACAAGTAAGAGCAGAAAAACGAAATGCCATGATTCTACAAAATAGCTTCCCAGAAAAGCAATTAACTGATTTTGTTCCAAGTTCACAGAAGATAAATGATGTAGGCTCCCTATTTCCTGTCACTCTTGGTTACCTTTGTATGAAAATGGATTTCTTCCAAATTAAAGTCGGCACCAGCCTGTCGGGCGAAAGGCATCTGCAAAAACCGAGTGTATATTACATATTCACGCCAGTCAGAATTTCTTAATTACAATTGAGATGTATAATGTTTTCAAATCAAAGTATGCTGTCAGATTATTCCTTGAAGAAACGATGGAGCTGTGTGGAGCCGGGAGACTCAGTTTCACTACCTGTCAGACACTTATTCTTCCTCTCATTCTCTCCTCCACTCTTCAGTCCCCATGACATGGGAGGCAGGTCCTGTGTGACCTAGTGGCTGAGCAACATCTCCGTGTATAACTCTGTACTTCCTGCTGTCCACAGTATTGATATGCACAGCCTCCGCCCTCTGAGAATATCCATACCATGCATGTGCACAGCCTCCGCCCTCTGAGAATATCCATACCATGCATGTGCACAGCCTCCGCCCTCTGAGAATATTCACACCATGCATGTGCAAATAAAACACCTTCCATCCCATGAGAATATTCATACCATGCATGGGCACATGCACAGCCTCTATCCTCTAAGAATATTCACACCATGCATGTGCACATGCGCAGCCTCCGCCCTCTGAGAAAATCCACACCGTGCACATGCACACGCACAGCCTTTGCCCTCTGATAATATTCATACCATGCATGTCCACACGCACAGCCTCCGCCCTCTGAGAACATCATACTCTTCCTTGTTCATCCCACGTGCATCAGAAAGCACATGCTTTCCTTGTTCCATCTGGGTCATTCTGAAGGTCATAATGGAGGTGAGCACGTGGAAACACTTATACATTTTAGCCCTTTTATGTTTAGTCAATGGATCCTAAAAGGTAAGGTGCTTAACTAAAAATGACTTCGGTTTCTGTGATCTTTGATTTTTCAAATGTCTATTAAAATAGGTCCCCTGTGTGAAGGTTTCCTTCCTGTTCCCTTGCTTCCTGGGTACCCTTCAGGTTGATATCAGAAAGTCAAGTTTTTTAGCTTTAAGATGGGAAACCACTTCTGAGGGTAGATTCTGGAGGATAGGCCGCAGCAGGAGGTTATTAGCAAGCCTGCTTTGTTTTTTTCCTGTCTCTCTTTCCCCTTCTTGTAAAGTTCCCTTCCCCCAGAAAACATCTGGAAGGACTACATGACGACTGGCTTCTCTGAAACCACACAAAATGTGTGTGTTGATTTCAAATCTGTGGCTAATCAGGAGTCTGATTCCTCTGCATTTGGTGGCACCGTATAGTCCTGCAAGAGAGGCCTCATGACGTTTCATTCCCTCATCTTCTAACATCACATGCAGTCCTGCTGCTGTGTAAGAGACACACAGGGTGGCCATGGATTGGAGACCAGCAAGCACTGGGTTCAAATCCCAGGTCTGCAGCCCATTAGCCAAGTGGCTGTGACTAAATACACTGTTTCTGCCTATGAGAGCTAGAGAAAATGGTAGTAGTTATGTGGCAGATGTGC